AAAAACTCAATTTACTCTTGTTAAATGCATTATTTTTTTAAAAAATATTTTCTCTCTCATATATAACATTTTACTTTATTAATATAAAATTGTAAACATAAAAATAGAAGAAAGTAATTATAAAATTATTTTTCTATACAAAATGACTTTCAAAAGGAATATCAAAGTTTTCTATATATATATATAAAAAAAAAATCAAACTGTTTCCGTAAGTAAATGGATGAATTCGGTCCCCTCCTTCTGAACATTGTTGTGTGTTCAATTGTATTCAATTGCCTCAATGAAAAATGGGTGATAATGGGTGCACGTGACTTGGTTAAATAAAAAAGAATGAATTGTTTATTTTTTTCAAAATAGACATTTATGGAAAAGTGTTGAAAATAAATGGGGAACAAAAATTAGGAAAAGCTAACTAAGGAAGGAGGATGAGATAAGAAAATAGGAGTAGGAAAATTTCTCTCTTCTCTTCTCTATATAATCACCTAACATAAAACAAGAAAATCAATAGAAATTTTTTTTTAAAGAATAAAAAATAATATTCAATATAATCTAAAAACTATGCAATAAATCCTGAAAAATTTTCTAAACATATTTCTTTGCCCTTTAATAACAAATATTACCTATTTATTTCAAACTATATCAAAACATACAAGTGCTAGAAAAAGCCAAGACAAGAAAGGTGAAAGTATGTAAAATATATGAATTATCATTATAGGACCAAAAATATGTTTTAGCCTTTAATTTAATTACTTTCCTTTTTATCATTGAATTCATTTGTAGAGCATTTCATTTAATTTGTATAAGACATAGTAACATTCACTCCACTTTACTTTGATATATAACAAAATTACAATCATAAATTCGCTTTTTAATTTTTTTTAAAAAAGTATAAATGCCACCTCATTGAATTGTGAAAACGCAAAGTATATCTAGCTTCTTATATAAAACTTCAACTGTTTTAGTTGTTTCCATTGAAATTTACAAAATATAATATCACAAATAATAAATTAGTTATTTTGTAAACAAGATAATAGTCAATTCATTTTGATTTTTAAAATAACATTATTCCGTAGAAATTTTTTAAACAGCATCATAAATGACCAGCCTCCACAAATTCATTTTCTCGTTGAATACATCAATCAACTGAGCAATACTCCGTCCTCAATATATGAAACCCTCAATATTCGGAACAAAATATATGTCATCTTGTGATGTTAATTACTACATGCTTTTAAATATAAGTTTTTTTTTAATTACTTGTAGGTATTATCTTGTTCAAGTTATAATCGAGCATTAAATGCAAGTACCTCTCTGTAGAAACTTGAATTTTAGTTCACCATATTATGAGGAATTAGCTCTATATGCTAAACTCAATTCCTGTTAATAAAATATATTAACATATACAAAATTAACAAATCAGTAATTTTTTAGAAAAATGATAATAAAATATCTTTAAATTATATAAATAACAATTTAATCTTTTAAAATGTCAAAATTATAAAAATTTAAGGCACTTATTTTACTCCAATTATAAAAATTATATTTTAAATAGAGATTAAAAAAAACAAAGAAAGAACATCTCCAGGCTACTCAATTTCTAACAAATACAATGTGTCCTCGAATAAAAACACTTGAACTTCAGCTGTAAAATTATTTTTCACATATTTGTATTTTTATTTGTATTTTCTATTAGTTTTATTTTTAGGAGAATTACAAACAAGTCCCACATAAGAGAATTAATTATTATAAGATTCATTGACAATTGAAATAAAGTTAACACAATGTATTGTTATTTTTCTTAATTTAGTTATCAATGGACCTTGCAATAATTAATTCTCTTGTATGAGACTTTAGTGTAATTCTCCCTTTTAAAAATATACATTAAAACATTGATTATATTATTAAATTTTCCCTTAATTTAATATATAGGAAAGTAGTCATTTGTTATTATGAAGTCATCATTTACTTTTGCAGGCATTATGGTCATTTTATAAATATTTTCCCAAACAAAACATTAATGTAAGTTTAGATGGATTTCAAAATAATTTGGCCAAAAAATATGGACTTTAAAATAACTACCCTATTATATCATCCTCTTGTATCATTTATCTATTTCGTTGAGATTTATTTTTTATCCTTCTTTTAATTTACCCATTATTTTACCAAAAGAATATAACATGAGATTTTCATGACTTAAAATTTTTATGGATTATTATCTATCCACATATAACTCAAAGTTGAAAAGGGTTATTTCAACAATTCATATAAAAATACTAGCAGGTATTTGAATCAGTTGGCAAGATAGTTGATCCACCTTAACAAGAGGTCTCAAGTTCAGGACTTAGATATGTAGCAATGATTAAATTCTCAGTGGAAAATGTTCCCTCAAAAAGGTGTTCGTAAGATGTTGTCCAAATTAGTTTAGATCAAAGAAATGGGATACAAGAATGAAAACAAAAAAATTCATATAAATAAAATTTATCAATAATTCATATAAACATTTAAATTATGACTTATTTTATTTCATATAACAAATCCATGCAGTGTGTGTAAAAGTTAGATATATCTTAATAAATTCAGTGTGTATATTTAATATAATGTCCCTAGAACAACTTTTTACTATCATTTATCAATGGAAAAGCATGTGAAGCCGATAAGTTCAATAGGTTATTGGTAGTAGTTATCCAGTCTTGCACCAATTAAAAGTGGAGGACATTGAATTATGAATAATAATTTGAATAATCTAATTTTCAAATTAAAAAAATAAAGGAAAATTATGCAAAACATTGATAAATTTTGAATCATGTTATAAAAGGAGCTAAAGTACAAATTTGCCCCAAAAGATTTTAAGGAGGCGCAATTGGTATCCTTTCCATTTTAAAGGCGCAATGTCACCCTCACGTTTTGAAAAAAAAAAAAAAAAAACTGACAATGTCACCCTATCGTACCTTTAAGACTCCGTTGACTATCAAGGAGATATTTTGACTATTAATTCATGAGCTGGCAAGACACATGGCTTGCAAAATCTGAACACATCACTTGCCACGTCTGAGGCTATTTTAAAAATTAAAAAACTCAAACCCACGGTGTTCTTGATCTTCTTCAGTTTTTCTAGAATTGAACTTCCTTAGTTTCTTCCTCTTCCTCCATGGCCGACAACCCCCATTTGGGTAGATTCGTCGATGACTACAAATCGCAAAGGAGGACAACCATGACCACCTTGAACTAATGAGCAGGGAGATCGAAAATCTCCATCAAGCAAATGGGATGGCATCCATAGCAGTAATTGCCAATGGTGGGTTCCTCTTCCTCCCACTCTTGATGATGCACTTCTTCTGTCGGATCTACCTGTCTCTCTCTCTCTCCCCTTGGTCTGGTTTCTACTTTCTAGTTTTGTGAACAAGTTTGAAGATGTTGGGTTTTGGGTTTGTGAATAAAAATGAATTGATTGAGCCCAACCTCCAGATTTGAAGCCATGACCCATTTCCTTGCCAAATTCATTGAACAAATCAAAGGAACTTTAGTCATTGAACAAATTAGAGATGGAGTTGAGGAATGGGTCCGTAGGTTTATGGGTATTTTTGTTTGTTTTGAGGATTGATGTTCATGTTTTTTTTTCCTTGTTTTAGCTTTCCGAAATTACAATCCTTGCTGCTATTCTTCTCAATATAAGATGAGGATTGATTGTGTTTTTTTTTCCCCCTTGGGTTCTGGTTCTTCGTTATTGGATTTTTGCCCCTTATGATTTTTTTCAACCTTTTGGATTGTGTTTGTTATTTTTTCTTGTTTTTCTTCCAGTTCTTGGTTATGGTTCTAGTTCTTTGATTTTGGTTCCTTGATCACACACAGTTTCATAGCTTGGGTCTTGCTTGATGAGGATTGATGTTCTTATTTGTGTTCTTCATTTTTGGGTTTTGAAAAAAAAAAAACAAGACTGAATAAAAATATTAAGAATGGGTCACACTTTCACATTCGGACCTCTATGTGGCTCACCAACTAAGCATTTAACAAGCAGAATTAAATGTTAACGGTCAATGCAGTCAAGTCGTCAAATTAGGGAAAAATTGTGTGATTTTAAAAAACATGAAAGTGACATTGTGCCTTTGAAAAGGAAAGGATACCAATTGCACCTCCTTAAAATCTTTTAAGGTAGATTTGTACTTTAGCCCTTATAAAAATGACACATAACAAGTTGTTGTAGTATGAAAAAGTCATATACTAATAAATTGTCACAAATTAGGTAGAGATATATATATATATATATATATATTAGTTGTAAAGAGTAATGACTATGTATAGATATGTCATTGTCTCAGTGACTTGGCACTATTTGGTTGACTTGGACTTTCTAGTCAACGAAGGTCTGCTTAATCATTCATTCAATATTTAATATACAAAGTAACCTAAAAATTTAAATAACATAGAATTTTACCAAAGTCATTTAATACATATTGGTTCATATTTTCATAATAGAAGAATGCTTGTGAGAAATAAAAAAACAATAATTTGACCAAACGCTACAAAAAGAAATTATTTACCTATATATCAAAGTCTACACCTTCATAAATATTTTTCTAAATACTACAAATTGGAATCTCAACCAGTATCAAATCAATATCCATTTTTATAATACAAAACATAAACTTTATTGACAGTAGAGATTTTCTCTCTTGAAGTACTATGTAATAACCTAACAATAATAATAATAATAATAATATAATAATAATTAATTATTATTATTATTATTATTATTATTAAGTGTATAAGTTTGTGTTTTAATAGTAATTATAATAGTTTTTTGGAATTATTATGACCCAAAGGAAAGTTGTTGTAGTGGCAGATGAGCAACTATTCTTCCAATAAGTCTGAAGTTTGAATCTGGCGGTGGCAAAATGAGATTTTTTTTGCTTTCCAAAATTACTAAATTACCCTTCTTAAAATCTGATAAAAATCTTCCCCTTCTTCGATTTTTTGGGAGAGACTGACAGAGAGGGAAGAGGGGCTCTGATTTTTTTGTTCTTCCAATCTTTTGCTCCACATTCGTCCTTGTCTTTTTCTCGTCACCGTTTCCTGTGTGTTCGTTGCCATCATCTCCTCATGCTGTTGTTGTGTAAGAGCTGAATCTCTGGCGTGTTTGCTCTTGCTTCGTCCTCACTGGTCAGTATTCTTGGCTTCTGTTTTTCTTTCTTTATTCTAGATTGTGAGATAGTTTTTCTTTGCTATTAGCATGATTACATTGTCCTTAATTTTTCACTGTTCATACACGAGATTTCCTCCTCCTTGTTCTATTCGTGCGATGTGAGCTATTTAAGGTAGAAGACTTGAATTTTTCTCTTGATCATTGAAGAATCTGCACTATGAGAATTGATTAGTGGCTATGGGAGGTTCATAGATTGTTTGCTGTCATTTTCCCCTGCATCCATTGTCTCCTTTTCTTCCATGTTATGTAAAGTTAATAGAGGCAAAGAAGTATTGAGCTCGCCTATTTCAAATTGTTTCTGTGCGTGAAAGACTGAATGGATGGTTGAAGGTACATAATTCTTAGTGTGTGTGTGTTTTGTTGTTATCCGTACTGTTTTAAGGAAGAGGAAAATTCAAATTTGAGCTAGAAATTACCTTAAAGCTTGATAATAATATACATATAGATCAACTTTTGAGTTAAATTCATCTTTTGTTTAAATTGGTTGATAATGAAGAATTAGTTAGGATTATGTTAGAAGAGATGAGATATGAAACTTAAGGATTGATGACTATAAGATGGTTGTTGAAGTGCTTATAAGCAAAAGTTGAACATGATTTTTTATATATTTATGGAGATTCGTTAATTCTTGTAGGAAGTATGAAATTTAATTTGGATGTTGGAACGAATATTTGTCTATGAAATTTATAACATGATTTTTGAATTTTTGAAGATGGATAGTTTTTGGTAAAATATTGAATGCTAGCATTTTTATGAGTAGATTGAAAATGATTTATGTTTGGTGCCTTGACCAAATACTAGTGAGAATTTAAAGAAAAAGTTTCAAATGTATTATGGTTTAATATTGGTGGTGAGTGAGGTTGGAAAAAGGAATTATTATACTGGTTGAGGGTTAAACAAAATTTTAATATGATTTATAGGGAGTTTGCAAGAGGAGAATTTTGATTAAAGTTGAGAGAAGGAATTTGAATTTTGGAGATTTCAGGTAAGTGAATAGCATCCCATTTAATTATTTATTAATAATCATTTATTAAAATATTTTATTTTTATGAATTATTTTAGTTTTAGAAATTTTGGAACAATGATGAAGTACAATTACATTATGATATGTGCATTTATTTTTCCTCAAGAAATATATTTTTCTAATATTGACGAAGGTATATTTGTTTATTGAATTTCAAAATTTCTTGGTTACATAATTAATGCAAGTTTGTATAGTCGCTCTGATGTATTAATTTGGCAAGTCTTATATATTTGAAATAATTCATGCGATCTTGATATTGAGAATAAAAATTTTATTTTAAAAAAAATTATTTCTCTCGCTTGTTTGAAATGTCATTTCTAAAATGACTCTAGACAGAACACTGTTGCTAACGGCAGTTCTATTAGCCTATGGCACACTGTGGTTAATAACTAGCTAGTTTATTTCATGGGCTTTATCCTTACATTTGTTATTATTGGGCTTTGTACCCACGTTTGGTTTTTGTGAATTGAGCCACGTTTGGTTACTTACCCTTGTGGACTGTGTGTCCACATTTGTTTCATAACCCGGGCTGTATTTAGTTACTTATCCTGGTGGACTGTGTGTCCACGTTTATTTTTGTGGCATAAGCTGCATTTGGTTATTTTACTCTTGTGGATTTGAATCAAGGCTCCCGTGAAAGTAAACTAAAAATACATAAAAAATAAAAAATAAATTAAATCTCATTGATTAGAAAAATCGAAAATATATGGAAAAGTACAGTGAATGGAGAATGATAGTCAAATAGAGTTAATGCTAATAGAATACGAAAATTTTAAAGTGAAAGTAAACTGAAAATACATAAAAAATAAGAAAATAAATTAAATCTCATTAATAAATCAAGAAAAATTTTCATATTAATATTAACCTAAAATCTATTAACCAATAAGAGTCAATTTTTTTGACCAATTAGATTGAAGCTACAAGATTTATATATTGATATATTGATGATAATATTTATATTGATATATTGATATTGATGATAAGATAAGATGCCTTAAAAAGAAAAATCAAAATGCAAGGGGAAATACAATAGACATAGGCCATGAATAGGAAAAAAGGGAGTCAGTTAATGCTCCTGTTCAAGTTGTGAATTACAGTTCAAACTTTGAAATTGAAAATAGGTGGACCACATGAAAAATTGATCGAATCGATGGGAGAAGATAATTACATTTTAACCAAGATAAAATAACTAATGATAAGGATCAAAATTTGATCAATGAAATACTTTCTATAAGATTTGTTAATATATATTGATATTGAGATACTTCATTGAGAAAACGACACACAGTACTTAATTCTGTTTGAAATAGTCAAAATCTATTACACGAAAAAAACATTTAAATGACAATAGTTAAAAGATATTTGCCTGTACAAGTCGATTAAAGGTAATTTCCCTGTAAAAATGGCAATATAATATAGGACAACAGAGTAAATTTATTAATCCATTTTTATAATTTTTTAGGTTATTTTTTTGTAGTTCATTATGATTAAAGTTAATTTTTATTAATAATAGAAATCATTTGTTCCGTTTTTAAAAATTAAAGAAAAAAATTGCATCACTTGTGCGTTGAACACCTACTGTTATTCTTAAGCCAGAAAAAATTCCTAAACTCCCCTGATGATGTGAATGTAGCAGAGAAAGGAAGAGCAACACGCTTCTCCTCTGGTTAATTCATCTCTGTGATTTTACTTTGTTAATTAGAAATAGAAATTTGGCAAGAAGAGGAAAGAACAGGGACATACGTTGAAGATGGAGGCATTGCAGAGAAAAGACGGTGCTGTGTGAGAGGGGAACACGTGGCAAACCCGAAAGCTGTGTGACTTTGGCCTGAATTTCAGGATTGCGTTCACAGATCCATCTTTGGTAAAAAGAAAAGAGGGTCTTTGGACGAAGGAGAATTTTGAGGGAGCCAGAGAGGGAGGACCCCAAAAAAAAAAAAAAAAAAAAAAAAAGAAAGAAAAGAAAGTCTAAAGTGAGAGAGCATAAAACAGAGGGACACGGAAGGAGAGATTGAAGGAGGATCCCAGTTTGAAGCACGGAGCAGCACTCAGAGAGAGGCAGAGAATGGCTGAGTATTGGAAGGAGGAAGAGCAGAGCCTAAAAAGGAAAGAATGAAGAAGGCAGAGAGGAATGTAGCCAAGGAAAAGATGAGACGTCCAATTTGAACTTCATATAGGGTTGTTCCTGGTTTTATAAAACCCATTTAATTTCATCCTCGATGAGATTGTGGACTAGTACGTGTTTCTGCTTTTGGAATGACAGGTGTGGGCACCAATCTGTCAAGTGTTACTTGACTTTGCTGAAAGTCTGTTTTTTTATCATTGAAATCTTGTTTGTTTTTGCTGCAATTTAGGATTTGTGACATCATGAAGGGAAGTTAAATATATGCTTCTTGGTGGGTTGGAGTATGGTCTTATTTCGGATAGAATTTAAATACAAACTGATTAGTTGTTCATTTTGGATATGCTATTAGGATGTTTGTAGGGTTCTGTATGTTTGGTTTGCTGTCTAAAAGTTTCATGATTTTTGGAGCCCAGTTGCATGATTAAATATGCCAACGGGTCTTTAAACAGTAGCGTCTGTCAATTTTTAGTGCCTATTTCGTGGATTTTTTTTATACTGTTGCAGAGGTGACCTTAATCCAAAATTTTGTACCCAAGCTTCCCTGTAAGTCTTGTTTGAGGCATAAAGTTTTCGTGATTTTTAGATTTTATTTTCCTAGTTGAGTGTGCTGACTTTATTGATTTTTCTATAGTTGTACTTGTTGGACCCTGAGATGAAATTGTGTACCTCCCTATGTTTAGTTTGATGTATAAGGTTTTCATGATTTTTGGAGCCCATTTGCATGGTCAAACATACTGGTTTTGGGACTAATCATAAAATGCTCTAGACAATTGGTCTGCTGCACCCTACCTCGTGTATTTTTCTGTCCTAATGCAGAAATGATCTTAATCTGAAATTTTGCACCCATGATACTCTGTAATTGTTATTTGAGATATAAAATTCTTAGGATTTTTTTTTTCTTATTTACCTAGTTGATTAGATTTGTTTTTCACCGTCAATCAATAAGCCTTACACCAATTATACAGCTTAATCTGTCGATTTTTCTCTTTAAGTACGTACGGAGGTACTCTTGAGCTGAATATTTGTATTCATATTTTTCTACATGTGTCATTTGATGTGTAAAATTTTCATGATTTTCAGAGTTTATTTGTTGAGTCAAATACAATAATTTTTGAATTGGAGACAACATAACTAGATTATTCATGAACAAGGACGAAGGGCAATTGTGTATGTGTATGTGTATATAATATTTTAATATTTTGCATGTGATATACCAGTTTGATTTGGTAAAAGAAATCTCTCATCATTTTTTTTTTTTGCTAAAGGAGTTGATTTAACACAAGACATGGTTTAACATCTATAAATTTGAATCAAATTTAAATATACAAATTTTTATGGATTCAAATGATGAATTTGACACATTTAAATAAAAATCTCTTTACATTCGGCACAAACCATGTTCAAAACTCTGGCTATCGTTTCTTTAATGTAGAAAACATCACTGTCGATGAGTGCATGTCGATTCATGTTGTGCATGTAGGTAAAAATTAATAAATAACCTAAATTTTATTATTAATTATAATATTTTAAAAAATAATTTGTTAAAAAGTGAAAATCAGTTTAAAATTTAAATCTAAGTGTTGTATGATTAACATTTATTTAGACACACACTGTCCCTGATTTAACTAACATTTTTATTAATGCTGGTAAAAAAAATAAACATTTTTACATGCCAGTTTTTGGAACTGGTCATTAAACACTTGCATCGGTCAGTTTTTAGCGCCTATTTCGTGGATTTTTTTTATACTGTTGCAGATGTGATCTTAATCCAAAATTTTGTACCGAAGCTTCCCTGTAAGTCTTGTCTGAGGCATAGAGTTTTGTTTTCGTGATTTTTAGATTTTATTTTCCCAGTTGAGTGTGCTAACTTTGTTGATTTTTCTATAGTTGTACATGGTGGACCCTGAGATGAAATTTTGTATGTATACCTCCCTATGTTTAGTTTGATGTGTACAATTTTCATGATTTTTGGAGCCTATTTGCATGGTTAAAGATACTGGTTTTGGCGCTGATCATAAAATGCTCTCCACAGTTGGTCTGCTGCACCCTACCTCGTGTATTTTTCCGTCCTAATGCAGAAATGATCTTAATCTCAAATTTTGCATCCATGATTCTCTGTAATTGTTATTTGAGATATAAAATTCTTAGGATTTTATCTTATTTACCTAGTTGATTGCATTTTTTTTTTTACCGTCAGTCAATAAGCCCTCTGCCAATTATACAGCTTAATTTGTTGATTTTTCTCTTTAAGTATGTACAGAGGTACTCTTGAGCTGAAAATTTATATTCATATTTTTCTACATGTCATTTGATGTGTAAAAATTTTCATGATTTTCAGAGTTCATTTGTAGAGTCAAATATAATAATTTTTTTATGTTAGACAACATAACTAGATTATTCATGAACAAGGACGAAGGGGCAATTGCCCCCGCAACCTGAGAGAAAAATTACTTAAGGTGAACCTAAGCAATAGTTTTACTACCCCTCAAAAAATTTCAGCTGTCCCCTCACTTCAAAAAAAAAAAATGTCCCTTATTTCCTTATAAAATTTCACTCATCCCATTAGAAAATTTACTATCTAAAACTATATAATATGTATAATCTTAAATAGCAATAGTTTAAAAATGAAAAAGTAATAATTTAGAAAAAAATTTCTATGAAAATTTTTTTCACAAAAAATTCTAAAACATGCAATCTCTTTGGAGGCAAAATGATGATAAGAAAATGGAGAGGTTCCATATGCAAAATTTTCCACCATACAAAAAATATACTCCCTCCATTCAAAAATGTAAGACATTTTTTGAATGTTGGATGTTAAAAAATGTAAGACATTTTTAGTCTTTCGAGGCATAATCATTATCTTTTTTCAAAAGTGCCCCTATTGATAATAATTTTATATTAATTATAGAGTATTTAATAAGGGTAAATTTAAAAAGATAGGGTTAGCTTGAAAGTAGATAACTACTTTATTGAGAGGTGAGATTTGATTAAAAACATCTTATATTTTTAAACGGAAGGAGTATATATTTTTTATTTAATGAAAATTAAAAAAAAACATGATTCTTATACACACATATTGCTTATATAAAGAGAGTCTTTTATGGTATTATAATGCTATGTTTTATGTGCTATTCTTATTGTTTAATTTTATTAAATTATTTAATAAATATAGTTATATATATATTTAAAATTTTTTATTAATATATAAATATTTATTGTAAGTTATGTTCCCATTGATTCATTTTTTTAGGTCCATCACTGTTCATGAATAACCAATGTCATGTAAGAAGCTTAGAACTTTGCAGGCATTAAGATGAACAGTACAGCCATGAGTGACAATATATAAGTCTCTGTAGGCATATTGAATTTTTTTGAAAAAGTAAATTTTCAATATATATATATATATATATAATGAGAAAATGATAAAATGAAATATTTGGTGCCGTGTTGTGAGAGAAGCTTAAAATCTCCATGGACATTAGAATCAATTTTATGGCCACAAGTGATAATATGTCTCCATAGGCATAGTGGATCTTTTTTAAGAAAATTACTTTTCTATATTATATTGGTAAAATGGATTTCCAAAAAAAAATAGAGAAAATATATATTGAAAAACATCTAAAAGTAATAAAAACAAAAAAAAAACATTTTCAAAATTTAAACAAAAATGGGAGTAAGAAAATGAAGTAAAATTATCTTTGCAGATTAAAATATATCAACCCGTTTTTAGAAACTTGTTTTATTTGTAATTAATAAATTATTTTCATTTAACTTTCTCTTTTCATGAAGATCATAAATTAAAAACCACTAATCTAATGACACCTATTTCTATCTTGAATTACATAGACTTTGATCTCTATAACAGGATTCAAAGGCCTCAAACATTAGCTCTAGGTCAAGTTCATCCTTGTAAATAAATAAATGTTTTTTCCTCATTATTTTCTTGATTTTATGTTCATTTTGTATGGAGTTAAATGGTAATTAAGATAAATTTTAAGGCCTTAGTACCAAAAAAAAATAAGTTTTAAGGCCATATGAATTTTGACCAATTAGCTTAAGGTAACTATTCTTATGTCACACCCCAAAAATTAGGTGTGACCGGCACGAGATATGGGCACAAAACTCATATCTCTTAAGCCGTAATCGAAGAAACTCTAAAATTAATACGTTAAACACACTAATAAAGTAATTAGAAATTGTTACAATATTAAATCAGATATTCAATTTTAAAAGAAATGTAAGGATCCTACCTGTAGTCTACATGGAGCACCTAAGGCCAGACGCCAACGTAGGTATAAAGTTCAATTTTTTTTATCAAATTAGGATTTGACTAAAATAATTCTTCTACTTCAATTCAGCAATAAAACTTCTCAGTGGATATCTCGAGTCACGAGTTCAACTATACCATCTGAAATCAAAATATCTTTTCTAGTGAATAATGTTCCAACAATAAATAATTGATCATGAATAAAAGAAAAGTTTGAAACAATTATGCAATTCAAAGAGGCAACGATTCTCATAAAAATTTAATAGACTTCAAAAATAAAAGAATTTTATAAATTTTAAATAAAATCTTGAACTATTAAAATACCATATCAAGTATTATTATCATTTGATTGCAAGAAAGTAAATAAATAAAATAAATAATTCACTAATTAAAAACTAATAGAATGTAAAATCATCAAATAATCAAATTTCTATTAGAGGAACTTATCAGAACAATTAACAAATGTGGATACAAAGTCCATGAGGGTAAATAACCAAACGCGGCTCTTGCCACGAAAACAAACATGGACACACAATCCATAAGGGTAAGTAACCAAACGCAGCCAAAACTATGAAACAAATATAAACACATAGTCTACAAGGGTAATGCTAACCAAACGTAACTTAAAGCCACAAAACAAACGTGAGTACAATGCTCACAAATAACCATCTCTCCATTCCACGTGCATTAGCCATTGCACGGGGCTAGCACCTCTTATAAACACCATGCTAGCTTAGTGAACCATGGCGCGCCAAAGGCTAACGAAACTGCCGTTAGCAACTAATGTTCTGTATAAAGTCCCATTCAAATCCATTTTCAAACATGCGACAAAATTATCACTTTCACAATAAAATTTGCATTTTCAAAGTGAAACTCGCATGAATCATTCTTTGTATCAATCCAATGTTGGTAGAATGAAATCTCATAATCAAAGTCCAAACTTATATTTATTAATTAGTTAAAATTTCAAAACTGATAAAGTTAATTTTACAAAATAAAGAAGTTTAATAAACAAACTATTCAATAATCACATCATCGTTACTAAAATAATTTTGCAAACAAATGTACTATTGTAGTAAAGGAAATCTTTATTAAAAAAAATCAATTGGGACACTATCCACTTACCTGATAACTCCTAAATGAATAACATGTGCTTTTTAAATACCTCTCTATTTCCCTTTATTAAAATTTTTATTTTCAAAGTGAAACTCACATGAATCATTCTTTGTATCAATCCAATGTCGATAGAATGAAATCTCATAATCAAAGTCCAAACTTATATTCATTAATTAATTAAAATTTCAAAACTGATAAAGGTAATTTCACAAAATAAATAAGTTTAATAAACAAAATATTCAATAATCACATCGTCATTACTAAAACAATTTTGGAAACAAATGTACTATTGTAGTAAAGGAAATCTTTATTAAAAAAAAT